TTTTTTTTTTTTTCCATTTCCAAACATTTTCGAAGGAGCATTACTCTGTGGATGAAGTTCTCCACTTTGGTCTGCAGGCCCCACCATCTGAACTTGACGGTGACCAGTTTGTACGCGCACATGTAGGGACAGTCCGTCTTCAGCTCGTTCTGCCGGAGAGAGTCCGCAGGACACAGGTCAGTCAGTCAAACGGCTGCTTAAAAAAGGGAAAGCACCAGCCTGTGCTCGTCTCCGGTACCTTCCATTCGGGGCCCAGCGGTCCTCTGCCCGTTTTAGCCGAGTGGAAAAGAGCAGGATCCTCTTCTGGTTTGTAATCCTGAAAGAGGACAAACGAGACAGGACAGGTCCCGTAAACCTCACGATAAATAAATGACGAAAATATTCAAAAATAATTTCTGTTTTTTCTCGTATATTTTGTGAAGGGTCGAATAAAGATAACCCTATATGTATGCCAAATGTATCGTATTTGATACACACGGTTTCTGAAATGTTTTGCGTCTGACACCTTTTGCATAATTTAATGGTAAAAACTTTGCCCAAAATCCTATTGAACACAATCAGATACACCTGATAACAGGGGGCAGAAGACTACACAAAAATAATCTGGATTTATCACATAGTAATAAATTATTATTAACCCTGTAATGCCAAATGTATCATATTTGATTCATACGGTTTCTGAAATGTTTTGCTTCTGACACCTTTTGCATAATTTAATGGTAAAAACTTTGCTCAAAATCCTATTGTACACAATCAGATACACCTGATAACAGGTAGAAGACTACACAAAAAATAATCTGGATTTATCGCATAGTAATAAATGATTAATATTAACATTTTATCGTATTTTTTTTCTTTTTACATATTTGGTTAAAAGGCCAAATAAAGACTTAAAAACCAAAAAAAGTAATTTTCTTGGATCAGGCTTTAAAGGGTTATGGAAATGTTAAAGAAAACCATACATACTTATCGCATAGTAATAAATTATTAATATTAAAATTTTATTGTATTTTTTTCTTTTTACATATTTTGTTAAAAGGCCAAATAAAGA